GACAGCATTGCTGGATAAAATATATACATACATATATATATCACTTAAAATAAGTGATTTTATGTATGAAATATCTCTCTTTTATTTTTTTGTGAACTAAATTCTATCTCAATTTTTGATTAAATTAGTTCATATAATTTTAAAGAATTTTTTATTTTATTTATACCATTAATAAAAAATTAATACTATTATCTTAAAATATCATATGTCAAACTCATAACATAATTTATTCATGTATAAATTAATAACATATCTCGCGTATATGTATTTTAATCTTGTCTGAATTAAAATATATGAAAATTGTTATAAAAAAAGAGTAATAAATGAGAAAGTTAAGTAAAAGGTGAGATTTGGTACTTAATTTATTGGTGGGCAAGTCTTGGATTTGGCTATACATATCTATATATAATTCGATTTTATTAGTTTAATTTTTTTTTTTAATATAACGTAATATCTATTCAAAACCCAACCTCTATTTTTGAACAAAAGTCCCTTAGAACATAACTTTATTTGAGTTTTACATTGCAAATTAATGCATCTTGTTTGAAATAAATATACATTACATGTATATTGTTTATAACTTAAATCAAGGAACCAGCAGAATCAATGTTATAAATCCATACAGAAGGTTATTGTATGTATACATAATACTGATTATATGATATGCATATATTATAACTATTTATAATGATTTAATAGTTCTCCTCCAAGATTGAATGGAAAATCTAGGTATTCACGTAGGTTGGAACATGCAATGTGGAGATTGCCTAATGGCCAGCTCCTGGACTCGGGACAGACTGCAAAATACGATCGGTCATGGCAAGATGAACGGCAATTAGGGTTTCATCTGGGTGGTCTTCGCCGTGACCATTACCTGGAGAAGAAGGCAGTGCAGGACCCTCGGAGAGGTCACCTTGAACCAGACTGGAATCTCTCAAGGAAGGCGCCATGGTCAGTTTTCTAGCCTCCAAACATGGTAGAAACTCAACAGATAAAGCAAAGAGGACGGAGATTAGTAGCATCACCATAAGCGACCTTGAGTTAGCCATTTAGAAATTACCCTAAACAAGCTTCTACTTGTATTACTTTTTGAAGGTTGATTACATAATGTATACATATATATAGAGATCAGAATATACGAGCTACCCAGATCTCTTCTTGAATAGTGTATAGTGCATAGTGCATGTATGCATGTATTTGGACGTTGATACAAACACAATCTTGGAGGCATGAGAGTCAAGTTAGGTGGCAAAGTCTGGAATATTTGAAGAACGTAGAAGCATAAAATTTGGCAGCACAGTTTCTGCAACACTGTACGAGAATGAAGCTACATGATTTATGGATGTTGGGTTAGGTACACATCATTAACTTAAATCCTATGTAGCCGCCGGCGTTAGTTGCATATGAAACTATACATACACACATATACACATTCATATATACATATATACACACACACGTCGCAACTCTGAAATGGTTACTACTTTTGGAGCTGTGTACATGTTTGAAAATAATCAATAAATTTACTCTTCACTAATTGGCGTTCGAATTCTCTCTAGTTTATCTAATTTTGTACTACTAATTACTACTTAATTACTTTCACATTTTTAAATTTTGTACGCAGTAATTGTGATTTGTGATATTAATTTAGTTAAGATTAACATGTTTTACTCATTATGTTGGTGGAGTAAGACGGTGCTGTTCAATTATGAAGGCATGCAAGTAAGAAATATTAAAAAGATAGTTGCGGCTGATGCATGCACAAGAGAGACTTTAAGAGATTCATTACCAATGTGAATCTTGACCTTGAGAAGAAAATTTGTTCATGGAAACTGTGGTCTCTGATTTTAAGTCAAATATTTTTTAAAAAAAAAAAATTAATTATCAAAAAAGATTTGAACTTTAATACTTTTTACAGTTTAATTTTTTAATAATTAATGGTTGATATTTTTTATTTATGTTAAACATATTAATTCGTTCTATTTTTTTAATAAAAATTTAAAATAATTAAAAACCAAATTATAATAAAAAAATTTAAAACTAATTTAGTAATTTGAAAAAAAAAAAAAAAAAAAAAAGAAGTTGAAAGGGAGAGATCATGTAAGTATTAATGCAAGTCGCTAGCAGACAACTGTTGAACATATATATTTAGTTAATGTGGTATATTTCCACAAACAATGCTTATGAGTGCCAACACGTTTCAAAAATATAATAATTATTACCTAATCTTTTCAATCTCACTATTCCTAATTACTGTACAAATAAGGTTAGAACACACTCTTTTGTTTTGTATACATCATACATACTACTGGGTCAACCAAAAAATCTAATAAAAGTCAAAGGGAATGAAGTACAAGAAATGATAATCGAATGCCTTGTCAAACAAAAATTTATTTTATTATAAAAATACTTGTGTTATTAAATGATAAATTTATTTACAAATTAACGTTATTTAACAAACAAACAAAAAATATTTAACGCAGATAATTTTTTAAAAATAAAAATATTAAAAGAATAAAAAATTAATTTAAATATATAAAGTAATTATTCTTTTATGTACTGATATAATTTGAACACACAGTCTTTTTACTATCAAAGTCTCACACGTATAAAACTTCTCCCCACTACCACTTCTGAGTTTAAACATTTAGTTCCGATTATGGCTGAAGAATTCCAAATTAACAGACAAAACAATTAAATTACACCTAACACTTCACCTACAACTCCTCTGTTGTGAATGTATAATAGATGTCAACCTTAATACTTGACTTTTTAAGGGACAAATTTTGTCTAATAAATCTAATTAGAATTTGCAGTTTTGGAGAAGCTGGATTAGAAAAAAGAGAAATTCTATTCCTACCCTATATTATAAGAATAATCCGATCTGCAATTAATCGACTTTCTTTAAATAGAAGACAGAAATATAATCGACTTGAATTCGAGATAATTGTACGAAATGTTAGTAAAAGATTCAATCTGTTATTTCATATTTATTTTTAGTTGGAATAAATACAATTAGTTAATCTAAAAATTTACAAAACTCAAAGTTATGAAACAAGAAGAAATAAAAATATACCTGTATGTATAAAAATCTGTCCAATATGTATACATTGAATCATGTTTTGGAACATACATGGCGAAAAAAAAAAAATAAGAGGAAGAAAAGTACTAATCTACTGGCTGAATCAATCCAACAATCATCGAAATGTCATCAACTTTTCCTCCACAAATATCTGGGTCCATTGCAGCCTCTGCGAAAGGAGAACAATAGTTCTTGTCATGAGAATTGTAGTAAGCAACATCAAGAATGGTGGAAACCAATTTCTTCGGGCATATCTTCTCATCACCTTTTTGAAACTGACTCAATATCTTCTCAATCTCCACATTGTATATATTGTCGAATAACCCATCTGTTCCGGCGATCACAATATCTCCGGCCATCACTTTCACGGTCAACTCTTCGGCGTCACTCGGCCGATCGGACGTTCTCGAATTCCCCATCTGGTACGGACAATTAAAGTAATGTTGCTGAGTCGGCGACTCGTATATGCACTTTCCGTCTCTGAAAACCCTAAACCTGCTGTCACCGAGATTGGCGGCTAACAAAGTGTCGTCGTTTCGGAGTGTGATGATGCAAGCGGTGGATGCGCCTTTCGCCTTGGTGTTTCTAAAAGCTTCTTTCAATACTCTTTTGGGATTTACAGCTCCTCGAGGCTCATCGGCGAGTGCGACTATGGAGTTTTTCATGAGCTGTCGAGCGTATTCCCCTGCGTCGACGCCTTTTAACGAGAAGCCTCCGACGCCGTCGGCGACGCCGATGGTCTGCATTTTATCGCAGAAGAATAAAGCGTCTTCGCCTTCGGGGAACCGAGTATCTTCTTTGGGTATGTAAAGTGCAGAGGAGACCATCTTCAAGCTTCCTTGTTTTGGTTGGGTTAAATCTTGGGTGGTTTCGTCGCAGTGAAGAGAAGATATAAACCGGCAAAATTGTTCGTCGGGCACATTCTCTGTCGTCATCGTCGAGGTTGAAAATTCAATGATTGCGGGTACGAGGGTTGAGTCGAAAACTGTAAATCAGAAGGTAGACTATTGGTTGGGATACCATGTTCCAGTGTTGCCGTGCGTATTTATGGAGTCGTGAAGTTGGAAGTAAATGTAGCCGTTAGCAGAATCCGATTCTGTATTTGTTTCCTAGTAGGTGCAGAATGTGGATTTGAAATTAATCTAAAATTACTCTATTAACAACTGAATTTAAAAACTAAAGTATAATTATCAAACTTCATTAAAAAAAAAAAAAATCCCAAATATTAGTTATATTTGTATAAATTATAGTATTCATATTGAAAACTAATAATATAAAGTGGATAAAAATAAGAATTTTCCAGTCTTGAACAATTTTTATCTACTACACCAAAAAAGTATAATGTATTGAATTAAATTTTATAAATTAAAATTCCATTCAAAATTATAGAAATTAAAATCTCACCCACAAAAGCTCAAGGTGAGATTGAAAATAACTCGAAGCATATAAACAAAGTACGCTATAACGATACATATAAAAATTAATGTAGAGATTAAAACTAAGAATCAGTTTAAAATGTAGTAGAAAATGAATAAAACTGGATTCTAATGTCTGAATGATGAAATGTCTTTCCAAAATGAGTGGCGTCCATGACATGTATAAAACTAATTTGCTTTGTTCTAGCCACAAGGCCGGCTGAGACATGTATAAAACATATAGCTAATGATATACAGTCACAATAATGACACCTCAATCCTCGACGAAAACAAAGGAAAAATAGCTCATAATAGTTTTCAACGATCATATTCCTTGTAAAAGATTTCATTATTTACATAAGTTCTTGGCCGTAACGAACTTAACTGGCACAAAGCCGCTACATATCTTGTCTCAACTGAAACCAGAACTCGACAAGATTAAACAAACATTATATATACATATATATATATATATAGAGAGAGAGAGAGAGAGCAAAAGGCATACCTGATTGTCAGATTAACAAACACGTCCCTTTAAAAGTTGCAAACATGGGTTCCTGGCTCAAGTCAACTACAATGGCTGCTTGTCTTGGCATGATGATCATTGCTGTTGCTGCACAATATAGTGATGGTGGTGGTTATGACGATAACATGCCCAAGGACATGCCTGGCATGCATATGGGTCCGACACCGATGTCGAATCTGGGCAGTAGCCTGGTCTATCCATCAATGCTGCTCGGAGCACTCCTTGGTTTCATGGTTACAGTTGTTGTCAATAACTAGATGGCACATGCCTCTCTCTACATGCCATGCCTCCTTTAGATTTCTTTCTTTTTTTTTTCCTTCTTTTATGGTGTTTTTCCAGGCTTTAAAACTTCTATCTCTATGCATGCACTTGGTTCTGCTGTCTGTTTGTTGTCTTCCAGGGCTTGATGTCTTCCTTGTATTTACTTTTGTTTGATGTTTGATACGAAATCTTTCTTCACAATACTTCAGCCGAAAAGGAGTGAGAAAAACATATCTTCTTTAGGCTACAAATTGAGTAAATGAACTATTAGTATGAAATTACTTGAAAATTCATACTTAATTTAGAATGCAATGGAAATTCTATTAGAAAATTGTAATAATCAACTTCATACGAAAGTAATACATTTTAAGCTCCATTTAGAGTTGATGAAATTTAGAATAGATTATTCAATAACACTTGGAATTCTCTAAAATGTAGATTTTTATCAATTTGCATTAGTATAAATAACAATTTTCTTTAGTATAAAATTCATTTGTTCCAAACACAGACCTAGATGTAAACGAACATAGACTATTGAATTAGTTTTATAAATTTTTATTCTCAACCAGATCTAAGTAGCCATACACAATTTTAGGACTCTTACTGATCGAGTCACCTTATATTCTACAAAGAAATATTTGTCTTGTTCAGCATTCAAATCCATTCCCATGACAAACAGGCAACAAATCTAAATCTTGAACTTCCATTTTCCCTGGCTAATCACATCAATTGTAGGACTGAGCAAACATATGAAGCACTAGAAGAATAAGCTTATAACAGGGGGAAAATAGTCAAACAAAGAGGAGACTGAAAGGTAAAAAAGAAAAGAAATTAACAATACCTGACGTAAAGGAAATACAGTATCTGAAAGTTGGGAACGATCAGCAGCACTGCAAAAAGATTTTGCAATATGTTAAGCCAGCACTTCTGTCATAATTTGCTTCCCATCGAAAATGCAAGGGGATCACACAAATGAAAATTTGCATTAGCAAAAGCAGACTGCAAACTAGAATCTCAGTAAATCTTTCTGTAAGAATATCGAGTAAACGAGCAATCTAACCTGGTAAGGGGCATTAAGAAAATACTATATTACTCAAATGGAGGTAATTTCTCAAGGCCCGATTAATATAGTAGCAATTAATCTATGAAGTATCTCTTAAATTTAAAGACGATAAGCCATTTTCCTGTACAACAAGTGGAGCTATTCAGATGGAATAGATCAGGAGGAAGCGCACCCAGTCCAAAATAAGTTTCATATTTCTTAAGAATTTATGAAATATAATGTCTATAACATCATAAATATAGTTGATATAGCATCCAAATGAATTTTGCTTGTGATGTAACTTGTCAGAAAGAAAAGCAAGAAGTACCTTCAAATTAAGAAAACAAATCTGCAGAAACTGTTGAACACCGCAGACCATATTTTCTGGTCCATAAGTATTATTCAATCAATCACCGAATATTCTGGTCCATAAGTATTACTCAATCAATCAAAGAAAAAGTAGTGCTTCCAAATTTCAACTCACAAGCAATATTCCTGCTGTCTTTATCAACCAAAAAGCTGCAGAAAAACCTGAATGTTCTCCCTGACATACTATAAAGTAATTAGGTCCATTCCAAATTAATATATCTTCCAATCAATTCCATCGAAATCCAAACTTGGAGAATAAGTAGCAGCTCACGAGTTTAAGCCCACTATTTAATATCTTGAATATTAGAAAGGGAATAAAGATGCATTCCTAAGACAAGCGCAAAATCACCTGAATGAGGAAACAGAACCAACTTTGATAACATCTGTAACCTCAACTTATAAACTCCTGAATGTATTAACAAGATCAAAGAAACATGAAATATTATCCTCCTTACACACCATGGATATGGCCATCTCCCACAAGTCTGAACTAATTGCATTTCTTTTTCCCAAACTGCTCATAGCAGATGTCAATAACTCCAAATTCCCGTTCTGACTCAATCTATGAACTAATTTATGTATAGCATCATGGCGAGGCATGTAACCCTTGAATATCATCTCATCTAAAATAAAAACTGCTTCCTTAAACTGCATAACATTACAAAGCCCGTCAAATAGTATCCTATAGGACACAACATCGGGAGAGCAGCCCCTCTTTGGCATATCTTCAAACAAATCACAAGCCTCTTTCCATTTCCCTTCCATGCACAAACCCCTTAGTATCACATTATAACTGATAACATCCGGTTTACACCCCTTCTCTACCATTTCATCCAAGAGTTTATAAGCAGCTTCAAAATCCTTTTCCTTCCAATACCCATTAATCATCACATTGTAAGTTACATTATCAGGCTTGCAACCAATCTCTCTCATTTCCTCAAGAACCCCAGAAACATCATCCTTCCGCCCAGCCTTGAAAAGTGCATTAATTAACGTAGAATAAACAGCTGAATCCAATTTTACCCTGTTTTTCAAAATTTCTTCCTTAAGTCGAAACGCCATGCTCAATTGACCAATTTCACAAAGCCCTTTAATCAAGGATGTATACACATAGACATTAGGTGGAATTCCATATAGTTTCAACATATCATCCTTTAACTTAAAGGCTTCCTTCACCTTGAATTCCATACACAGTCCATAAATCAATGTCCCCAACGTTACACCATCAGGCCTCACACCCTTCCTGTGCATTTCATCAAACACGTTCCTTGCTTCATCAAAACACCCACTCACACCACACTGATTAATCATTATATTATATGTACATGCATCTGGCTTCCCAAACTTCTCTATGCCCATGAAAACTGCACTCATCTTTTCAAACTCCCCAGACTTCAAAAGCGCATTCAGCAATGAGTTCACAGATTTCATGGTCCTTTGGCATCGAAACGAGGGTATTTCATCAAACATCTGGAGCGCCCGCTCAGGTAAGCAGGCACGTCCATAGTAATTGATTACATTACAGAATAGGATCTCTTGCGGCATAAGACGAATATCAAGCCTGAGCTGGTGGAGAATTTGGTCCAATTCATCGAACATTTTGGCACGGCCAAGCTTGGTGATAATGATGTCGTAAGAGAGGAGGGAGTGGCGGAAAGGTTTCTTGGGTTTCAGATCCTCAGCATTTGGGTTTTGGAAAAGTTTAAGGGCAACGGCAGGGTCCTTCTCACTGCGGAGGAGGGAGGAGAGCCTGAAGGGAGAAATGGGCTTCAGGGACGGCTTCATATTTGTATATTGGTTATAGTGGCTATTCAGAATTACAAGGGGAAATGTGTTTAGGCACTAAAAAGCGCTTTAAGTTAAGCAGATAGGTCCTTATTTATGAGCAATTATTTGCAGCAAACTCATTTGAGCCCAAAACCAGAGTAAAAAATGACTCAACCTTGCACATTCTTGTTATAAACATATATAGAAAATGTCACTGGCTAGAGCAGGATTAAATCTAGCTTTCCATCCTTTTTTTCTGATCTCTTACAAACCCCGCTTACTTTCTTTGTCTATGTACGCCTCGATGTCTGCTATCTCAATCCTTCTCTCTTGACCTCTTCTTTTTTCAACTTTCGAGCCTTCTGCTCTTGTAGCTCCTCGTGTCAAGCCACCTTTGTTTTTGCCGCTTCTACCTGCTGCAACCTCGAACCCGATGCTTGCATACTCCCTCCATCTTCCTCCATGCCTGCTTCACGCTTTCTGGTTCCTCCATCGATCAGTCCTTAGGGTCTGCTCATCTTTGATTTCTTCCTATTTTAGTGAAAATTGGACTCCGCTAAACAAAAAGTAGAAGGCTATGTTCTCGGAGCCAAAACGACACCGCCTAAAGCTTTGAGATAGAGTAAGCCTGGGCGGGTGACTAGTAACCGGCAGGGCCAAGGAGATCCACATTTATAATTTAACCCATAGAAACATAATACACAAATTACAAAAGATTTTGGTATAATTGTAAATGAGTCTAATATTTTAAAAAATAATAATCAATTCTATTTAAAAATATATTTATTGATTAAAAATATATCTAATAGTTATATTTATTTTTTTAATATATAATAAAGTTGATTTAGTATAGATCATATGACAATCATGTGATGATAAAATAATAAAAAATAATAAAATAATAAATTATTCTCATAACAAAATAAATTATCGTAATATGATAAAAGAAAACAATAATAAAACGTTTAAGGAAAAAACATTTGTAGTTAAAAAAATGATAAAATAATTAAATTTTTATTTTAATAAATAACTATGTATTTAATTGCAATTACTTTTGCATATATGTGGCAATTTTATTGTACGTCTCCTGCTTAATGTTATATAATATTTAGCTATGACTAAATACATATCTCGTTATTATAATTTTAAAAATTAGTTATATAATATAAAAGTTGTAGTTAATTACAAATCAAAATTTATTTTTATATTTAAAATTTTAAAGAAACCATTATTATGCATATTATTAAATTATTCTTATATTTAAAAATTATATACTTTATAATTTGTAATCAATTAAAAACTAAATTTTATTTTTACATTTTAAAATTTTTATAATAAATGGAATCATAAATATAAAAATATATATGGTGCATCTATAACAATTATTTTATATGGTGTAAATGTGTGTATTTGTATAAAGGTCCGAAACCTTTAAAAAAATGAATATATATTAAAATAGTAAAAGAAAATAATAATTAAAATTTACATTCCTTACACAGTAATTTACAATTTCTAATAAGGTTATAGAAATATCCTTAAAAAAATTAAAATAGTAGAAACAGAAATGAAGCTAAAATTCTATTGGGTTAACCTCCACTGCTAACTTTGAT